TGCAAATCAAGATGTATATTTCCTGTTAAAAGCTACATAAAATATCAACAGCTGAATAAATATTGCGCTTATTAAATGAAAAAATAAAAGAGACGTTTATCTAAAACGCGTTTCTTAGAATCATAAATGTTTTACTTTGTAGTCTAATAATTAGATATTTGCGAATGTATAACAAATTTTTAAGACGTGTATCGTTTGTTTCCAGTTACGCGAGAGAGATAGAAGATCCGGAAGCATGGTCCATGGTTAAGGCGCCGTCCTTTGGCGTCGAATATGGTGTTCCCTATAGGCAGGAAGGTCGCCGGATCGCTGATAGGACTCACGTGATCTTGAAATTTCCTGTTTTCGATCTTCGTCTCCTAGCCTCGTTTCCTGGTACGTGAGTCAGGATCGCAGGAATCGGCAACCTCCGCGAGGATGAGCGCAAAAATATCGCTGGCCAGTCGTGCCGCGGCACAGTCGCCAGTCAACCACCGTGGCAAACCATCCTCAGGGCTTTTGCTCGCCAGCAAGTCTATCAAGAGGCCCTCGTCGATGAGTAAGTCCCGCGCTATCTATAAACAATCCTCCACGTGGTTCGTGTATTGTGCCATTAAATAAGAGACACGAGGGAACGTGTGTTCTAATCGTTATTTTAATTACGGATGATAGTTTCTATTGGATTGTTTTTCCTTAGACGTACGTATGTTTTCTTCTGATAATACGCTATCATTTCTTAATTCTACGCTCGTTTATCAAAACCTATTAAAACTGTCGCGTCATTTGTAACCTACTTTCCATAATCGAAGATAAGACATCACGTTCCTTGTTCGTTTTCCCGTGTGGATTGCTTCAGAGCGGTGTTTCCTAATAGTCATCGATCAAAAACGCTGAACGGAATTTCAAAGCCAATTAAAGATTCAGATATCGTTTCCGGAATAATGACGCTATCCGAGCTGATGCAGCAGTTTTCAACGTTTCGAAAACAAGCTCGGCAGTATGTAGAATCATATGTTAAAAAATAGAACGCGTTATCTGAAGTGCACGCATAAACAATTGCACAGCACATGATCAGTGCGTGGATAGCGCCGTGATATACCCGATGAATAATCAATTGACGTTAATTCACGTGACTAATTGCAAGTATTGTGTCACGACACCTGAACCCGACTGCAAATATCAGAATCATTTCGACAGTGATAAACGATGGAACTGTTTTTAATATCAGTAGCTGCGATTTATTAGGACGTATTTTTATTTTCTAAAAAAGTAAGTTGTACGCTTAAAATAATTTCCGAACGGATTCGTTGCAATAATAATATCCCGCGTATCATCGTTATGAAACTGTTTGTGATTTGCGAGGACGTATTTTCGTTCAAAGAAGAAAACAATGTTGTAGAATAATTTCCAAACAAATGCATCCGTTGCGATACTCGCGCATCTGCATCTCAGATGTTGTCTCAATGACGATCAGACATTGGAATAGCGTATAAATTCTCGTCCCGAGGTTGGCTCCCTCGAAAATACCCTCGCCAGAGCTGCTCGTTCTCGACGATCGACCGTCGTGTCTTCGGTCGAATAAGCAAACAGTCCGGTTACTACCTCGCTTTGACATGGAAATCCTTAGATCAACAAATTCTTTACCCCCGGCGGTGCATTTCGCAATGTAAGCATCGGCAAAGTGCACAGTTTCGCGAGTAGGTGGAAAAGAAAACGTGTGAATGAAGGTACAATTATAGATTCCAGTAAAAGACGATTTTATTAATAGAGCCGAGGATAAGTTATTTTTATGTCTTATCAGACACGCGACGTCGTCCTGACAAAGAATTATTTAGTCTAACATTAAAATAAATGTTCGATTTCAAATATAAAAAGTGCAAGGAATTCGCGAAATATGAGAATACAAAGAAAGCAATTAATTTTCTGAATTAGCTACTTTTTTCCCAGTAAAGGTTACGGGAAATTTTGCAATCACAATGACACACGGTTCGCGGCGTTTAATGACACACATACACACCATACACGTCACACTATAATCGCGCTTCGTCAACGAAGGATGCGTTTATTAGCCGTAGAGGTGACTGGCACCGAGGAAAGAACCGTCAAACGAGCCGCTGTCCCAGAAGTGGAAGCATCGCCGAGTTCATCTCGTCCTGACACTTCGTTAGACAGAGAGCATACAACCATGCCGGTCTTGTCGCGGGTTTATACTACTGCCACGCTGCCCAGGATCAAGAGGTTCAAATTCGCTTCTATCGGTGAGTCGATTCGCTTTATTTTATTCCAACTTTCGCCATCGGTCTGTGTCAAATATTCTACCAATCGTCGTACTTATATTGCGATAATTTATCTATGATTTTTTAGATTTAATGAGATATTAAATCGATACTGACTTTGAACTTTAATCAACAAAATTTTATTATTTGATTATCGATATCACTGAAGTACGGATATATAGATTTATTTTTTAAGACATGTGGGATGAATCGTAAAAGAAATTGTTATCCTTGGAGGCGCCCTTGAACAGTTTTTCACCGGGCGAACCTCCACCAGGCTCGGAGCTAATTACGACCGTGACGTCGCGTGAAATTCTGCCCCGTGATTCATACCCGCACAATTGCGTTGTGTCTCTTTTCCCTTTCCGTGTTCGACAATTCAGGTTACCTCGCGTGTCGCAATCTGACCAACGATCATTATCGGTTTATCAGTAACGTTCACGGAATTAGATGAGTCTTGCCTTGTATCGGACGTCGTTTAAACGTTGACGGGTACAGTCATTTTGGCGAGAAAAAATTAAATTTAACTCTGATTTAGATGATTTCATTCGTATGATATGATCTAGTATTGCCATTAAATGTGCAAGGTGAGGCAATAAGAAATATTAGGTATTGTAACTAGTTTGATGATTTTATCAAAACGTACTGCATTCATTATGGAGATCATTAAATGGATATATTTTTGTATTTTGATTACTATTACGTGTTTCTAGTAGGCTTTATAATGAAATCAATGATTAGTCGATAATTTTAAATGATATTTTTCTCTGACTCATTTTATATATCTCTGTTATTTTTATTGAGGAAACATTTTTGTTCTTAGTTTCTATAGGGAAAATAGGGAGAATAAAAAAAGGAGTGTGACTTAGCAAAAGATCTTATGATTTATTATAATGATATCAATGCTAAAATTTTTTTACATAATTAGCAAAGTGTTGCGAAATACACAAAATTAAGAGATATTATGTAAAACATGAAGTACAAGAACTGACAAGGACAATATGACTGTGGTATACATTTGGTGATCCGTTTTCGCGAATCTTGGATCAGTCGCGTAATGAAACTCGCACGCACGCGGTGCGAATACGTAATTATCGCGGAAACAGTACTCTGGGCCTGCCGTGCGGTGGTCAACGGCATATAAATATAAATATCGCGGTCGGACGTTGCGTTGGTCAAGCAGAATCGGTGAGTCAAGTTGCGTGTGGACGGCGCGGCCACTTTCTACAAGCCCGCGGCATTCCTGAATCCGCTGTCGATGACTCGAAAAAAAAAAAGTGAAACGACGTCGTTGTTCGCATCGATCAAGTACAGAATTTCGCTCGCCTCATCCATTTCTTTCGTCTGTCTCTTTCCTTGTCTCAATCGTAACTGTGACGTCTTAAGTAATGCCAATATCCATTTTATTTTAACCGCCGTTTACTTGGAAATTTGTCGCCGATTCTTCGTAGTCTACAACTCGAATTCCTCCAATTGTATTGTTGTTAGAGATGAATTTGAACAGTATTTCCACGCAGACGTGTGATGCTACAGACTGGCTGAGTTCCCGCGTGGTCATCTACTTCTCTCTCGGCCAAAGATAGAATCTGACATCATACACAGAAGCATCACTCGGGTCGAACATACGAGCGATAAACATACATACAAACTTAGTTTGCCGCGGCACGATGATGCGGGAGGTTTACGTTCCCTGTTAGAACTGTCTCAATTGACACGTTCCAATGCTTTCCCTCATGAAATCATCGGTAGAAACCAAAATTGAACCAACCTTTGTAACATTGTAACATATCCTGAGAGATTTATTTAATTTTTAGACACAGCATGCACAGATTTCTCTTGTTACGTCAAAAAACGCGATTCTTCTACAAAAATATAAGCCAATGCTCGTTTAAAATAATTTGATAGTTAACGAATTTGTTTTCCTTGAGTCATTATTTATTATGCAATTATTCATGAATATTCAATAAGCCTAATCAGAAATCGTATCCTGAGAAATTTATTTAATTTTTGGACACAATATGCATAGATTTCTCTTGTTACATCATAAAAACGCGATTTTTCTACAAAAATAGCAATCAATCCTCGATTAAAATGATTTGATAGTCAACGAATATGTTTTCCTTGAATCATTATTTATTATGCAAT